TAGGGTTTAGGCGTTAGGGTTTTGAACAAGGCTGACATCCAGTCAATGAGCTAGGGTCTGGGGAATGGGGGATTTCCAGAAATCAGGGACGCCTGCTTCAGACTCCCCATAATACAGATTACGACATATTGGGATCTGTGGAAACCCTCAAGTCTTGCGCCACCTGGAATCACCAAAGTACTGTAATCACCACTGGCGGGCCATGAGGGCTATGTGGGTAGCTCCCAAATTTAGGATCCCATTTTGGNNTTAGGTGCCGTAATGTAATCTATAGACAAAAGGGGTCCATAATTTTGAGAACAATCCATGTAGCGGGGTGCAAGATCTCCTCCATTCACAGTTTGTGTGTACGTTGGGGCTTGAGCTAGGGTATCGGATTTTATGTCAGGGTGCTTATGGGACAGGATTCAGAGGCTTCAGCTAGGGTTTCGCGCTGAGAGTGTGGCTAGTTTAGGTTCAGGACGTAGGGCTGAGGATTTAGGGTGACAGTACAAGGAGTTCTTGATAACCCCATGAAAGAAGATCCCTGTGACTATCGTGCGAGTGCCGTGCGGCAGGTTTTTACACAACTAAACCCTAAACCCTAAACCCTATGGTAGTTTCCATTTTCTTTTCCAACGGTGGAAGATGAGGCTGACGCAGTAGGAACAGACCATTAGGGTTTAGGCTTTAGGGTTTAGGGTTTTACATGTGTTACATGAGCTTCACAATCACTCTCGAGGGTGCATGAGGTGATCTCAAGGCAGACGTGGGGTCCCGCCACACTTTCAGTCCCTACGGAGTTCTTGTGCAACGAACTCTGCATGTTTCATTAAGCTTCCACAACCTGCGCCCTAATGGGTCCAGGGTTTAGGACCCTAGACCTTCAACCCTGAACCCTAAAGTCTGAAGCCCAAGGAGCTTAAGAAGCTCGCTTAGGGTGTGGGGGTTGAAATGCTTGTTCTTAAGTTTTTAGGCTTGGATTGAATGCATGTTTAGGGTTTAGGGGTTTCGGGTTTAGGGTTCAGGGCTTCGGGTTATAATCCCCTCAGAATCTTTAACATGTGGTTTCTTAATCGTGGGGGCTCTCGATCAAGGACCCTGGTGATATATCCGGGTTAAAGGGACATTATATGCGGGAGTCCCCCACAAGTAATGTAAGTCCATAGAGCCTAAACTTATTCGTTCTGAGTTGGGAATACTGGGAATCTATTATCTAGGGTTTATACAGGCGGTTTTAGTCCCCTATGATAGCTTTTCCTTTGTTTTGTAGGCAGGGTGGCTGTAGTCATGACTAGCCACCTCCTCGGACCCTGGTAAACCCGGCTTGCAACTACCCCTGAACCTCCAAGTAGAACTGTAGACAGCCCAGTGGTGGAAGTCTTTCTGAACTTGCTACGACTGATTTTACATGAGTAAGATTTGTTTTGGTGCCATGATTATGGCTAATCTTATTATGACTATTGTTCCACTTACAACATTTGCCCTTCCTGCATGTAGAGGGTGTTACAAGAGCCCCCAGGCAGCTTTATGAGCAAAGTGGTGTAAGGGTCCGCATGATCCAGAATGTTCTCCAGCTGCCCTCATGACGAGCCCATAACGAGCCCAGAAGTGATGCGAGGTCACCAGCAAGTATGACCAGAAGGGTGTCATGGCTTATGAGATTCTCGGCTGCATGGGGGATCTCTCAATATCGTGAACTTCCGAGTGGGGTCTCGCCAATGAGGATAATGAATTGTTGTTCGAGTTATAGCCGTAACCCTCACAACAACCTTGATTTTGAGAAGTATGCAGATTCAACACAAAGAAAGCTCGAAGATCTCACCCAGGACAAGGAACATGGACAAGAAGATTCATTACATCCGCCACTTCGTGCACAGCTACAAGGTGAGTTCTGTTGTGTGGCAGCTGTCATGTGAGGTGTAGGGTTAGGGTTTAGCGTTTTGACCCCTGCATCTTAGATCAATCCCCCCTATAGTAATAGCTCCTTAATTTGGAGTTCATAGGACCTTTATATATCTACAATAGTCCCTGGTGGTACCGATTACTGCGTGGGGGATTGGCCCAACCTGCATCCTCATTTATCCGCAACTTTTTGCTGTCAGTTTGCTGAGCCGGAGGCCAGAAAGATCAAGCAATTGTATTCTTCTCTGGGTTGCTGTCAATACGGAACTGAAACTAAATTATTGTGATAAGAAAAGCCGTTTATTTAGCTTATACCCATGTCATGGTAACTGAACTTACGTTCCTTAGCAGCAACCCCGTGTACTGGCATCAGTTTCAACAAAGGATTCTGAGGTTCTGAAGGGGGATGATTCAAGCGGGGTAGGTAATTGCAAGCAGTTCCCTGGGCCGCCTAAGACTCGCCAGGTACATCCTCCCCCGCTCCCCTCCCCCTTGAAGTTAAGGGACAAGTCCAAATTATGAGACAGCTCCGTACGTATCATTCTACAGACATCCTGGTGTCTCTTAACATGCCTAACTAGCTCCTCAATCCAAATTCCCTATCATCTCCCATTTCCATTTGATCTTTCTTTGCATGTCTTCTGACCCCCATCTTCAAACCTTACAACCCTATATACCCCTATACATCCGTAGATATCGCTACCTACACCCTAAGCTCCTGATGCGCCAGCCCACATCCAGAAGTCTTAGTTGCCTACCACTGCCACTGCTTCAGGGGTTAACCCAAAGGACCTGGACCCTCCTTTTAGGGTTTAGGGCTTAGGGTTCAGGGTTTAGGGTTAAGGGCCTTACAGGGCTTGTATGGTGGACGTATAGGGATGCACAGGGTTCAGGGTTTGGGCATTTGCTATAGTGCTTAAAGAGGTATAGTACATGGTCCGGAGTCTGATTGTCTCTAGGGTCGAAGGCAGGGCGTAGGAACCGTCAAAGTACCCCTTTGTTTTGCGGTGCGCTTTGAGCCTAAACCCTGAACCCTAAATCCTCAACCCAAAACCCTAAGCCCTACACCCTCAACCCTTAAACCCTAAACACTCTGACTGAAGGCATGTTACGGGGATTTTTCCTAAGGAGCGACGGTGGCTCCTTTGTTTGTTACTTTTGTTGCCCTAGAAGCCCTGGGCGTCACTGCAAAACCTTAAACCTAAAACCATAAAACCTTGAAGCCCTGAACCCTACCCTAAACTACCAAACCTTAAGAAGAAAACGCTAAAACCTTAAAACCTTAAACCATAAACTCTCAACCCCTGAAAGGTGGATTTGGAGACTGTGGAGGGGCTACAGGGCTGCGAGGATCAGGCTGTCCCTCCCGACACTCCCGAGGACTTGGCAGGGGGGTTGATGGGGTGATGATGGGTTTATGGTGTTTGGTTGGTTTAGGGTTCAGGGTTGGGGGGCTAGGTGACAGGGCTTTGGGTTTAGGATGCCAGGGGGGGGTGGGGGCGGGGAGGGGCATGACGCAAGCCAGCAGGTTCTTGTAAAAGTGGGGCTGATGGGATTCCATGTTCTCTGGGTAGAAAACAGTAAGTGTAACTAACTCGTCCTGACCCCTGTGATTCTCCCAGTAGAACCGGCCGGAGCGCAGTGCGATTTCAGCTGGGGCATTGCGCAGGGTTTAGGTTGAGGTCTTGAGGTCGGAATGTGGGGTGCAGTGTAGGATCAAGGTGTGTCGGTTCGAGGTGTTGTGAAGCCTCTGGATGAATGCGAGGTTGCGGGAAAAGACTACGAACTTGCCATTACCTGCCAGGAATCCTGCATCAAGAAGGCTGCTGAGATTTTCCCTACCTACAACCACTTCTTCTACCGCAAGGAAGCCGCACTACAGTATGCGGTTCTGGCTTCCACTTGATGATTTTATTCCCTGAGCCTCACCCTTAAATCCTAAACCCTTCTTGGAGGTTATGAGTTATAAGGATATTCGGCGACTTAGGGGGCTCATACTTTGGTCAGAAGTACACGTATAACAGGGTGATAATTACCCCAAACCCTAAACCCTAAACCCGAAACTCTAAAATATCCTTAAACCCTAAACCCTAAACCCTGAACCCTAAACCCTAAAACCTAATCCTTAAACCCTCAACCCTAACCCTCCAGCCGGCCTACGAGGTAAGCTGGCGCTGGGCAGTCGAAAGATGATTTGCTACAGTCAGGACAGGTTGGACTTATTTTTGGGGCTTGGGTTTTGGGGTTTAGGGTTTGGTGTGTAGGGTTTAGGGCTCAGGGTTTAGGGCTTAGGGTTTAGGGCTTCGGGTTTAGGGCCTAGGGTTTAGGTTTTAGGGTTTGGGTGTTGAAGTTTAGCGTGCTACTTAACGCGGAGGGTTTTAGGGCATAGAGGTCTAGTGTTCAGGGCTTGAGGTTTTGGAGTAAAGGATAGTTGTGGAGGTTGGAGACTGAGGGCGAAGGTGCTCATTGTTCCTACTGTCTGTTGCAAAGAGGCACCCTAAACCCTAAATAGAGGAGCCCTCGGTATAAATGGTACTTCAATCTGCGATGTCGGGCATGACTGTTGTATTTTTCTCGGAGTTTCCAAAACCAATGCAAGTCCTGCAAATTCCATATAATCCCTCCATTTTATTCTGGGTCAAACCGAAATGCTCACCGCTGGGGTTGGATTTTAGACGTCTTGCAGGTGTATTTTTGAACCACGAATAACTGCCAATATTTCCCCTTCATAGCCCTATTACAATATAGTATGCCGAAAGCCTCCTTCGATTTTTTTGCCCTGCATCAGGCGGTTTGGGGCTTTAGGGTGCACTAGTTGAGGGCTTATTCTAAGTTTCTGCTTATGGATGTCGGGCGTTCGGCGTGCTCATTACTTCGAAATTCGCACGGTTTCGAGTCATCTAGCTCCAGTACAACAGCCCTGTAGAAGTCCGGATACTTGTGACCCCTACATCCCCTTCACCTCGATGAGGCGATTAGGATTGACGAGATGTAGGTAGGAAAAACCAAGGTGTAAGAGGTGATTAGTGATATCCAGATTTCTGAAGGACCTGGGCTTCGCCAAAGAAAAACCCTAAACCCTCAACCCAGGAAGGACTTCAAGCTGCGTGTTGGAGTCGTAGCAGTCGCTGTGAACGCCTGACCGGTCCAGTTTAGGGTTCAGGCTTTAGATTTCAGATTTTTAGGGTTTGGGTTAGGTCAGGGCCTAGGCGCTTCAGGATTCAGGTTTTGGATGTCAGGGTATGTAGAGTGCAGGGGTTCTGGTTTTAAAGTTTAGGGTTTAGGGTCTTAAGGAGTCCAGTGTTTAGGGACAAAGTCCTGCTTCCTACCCAAGCCCTGTACAGGACGCCGACGAATGCAGCACCATTGATGCTGACGCCCGTGCCACAAAGAGCCTTTGTCTGCTGATTACCCCGCGGTGCGTTTAGGGTTTAGGGTTTATTCAGGGTTTAGGGGAACAGTGACGAATTAAATGGGAAGAGCATGGAACGGGATTTGGAACTTCTTTGTATGTTGTTTCAGCGATTGCAGAGTTGAAGCCTGCGATTTTTTCTACCAGTATTGCCGGCTCAGAATCCTTTTGCAGGAGCTGTGGGAGGTTGAGGTGGATGCGGGTGGTTTGGAGGATTTGAGATTCTTCTCTCTGCCTGACGTTCTTTCTAAAAATCTGCCCACGCCCTTTTCAAAAGCCCATGCTGTTAGTACCCACGCCCTGAATGAACTCGGTATGCTGCAGTACCATAGTTCCAAGATTTCGGGGCACTTAAGGGTCTTGCAGCTCGATTTTCGTATGGTGGGATTGTAGGTGTTTTGGAAGACCACCTGCAAGTCCCTATGGCACCTCTCTAGGTATTGAGACCTTAAAACTGAATAAGTAAACTTGAGAAACCCTAGACCCTAAACCCTAAACCAAAATCAACCTTTTCAGGATTCCTCATCCTGCCGGGATGGTTTCGTGTGGTTGTCTGTGATTTTGAATTGCGTATTGTATAGTGGATGGAAAAGAAGGATGGAAAAGACCATGTAAGGTATTATACTGGGTTATGTAGGGTTTAGGGTTTTAGAATTCCGTCATTTTGCTGTAGGCCTGAAATTTGCAATGAGGGTTGTCAAGACCATGGTCCTGATTTTGGGTCCCGCTTCTAGTTTCAGCGTTGAATCACTTACGGAACCCTAAACCCTAAACCCCAAACCCTAAACCCTGAACTCCTACAAGCCGTTCAAAGCCTCAGTCTGGGAGACTAAAGCAATTGGCCAAAGCTCAAGAGCTTTTGCAGGAGCTTGGTGTCTCCTGCGGATGGTCGCCGCCCAGCGCAATTGCTTGGTGTATTGTGACCCTACATACCAACTTTAGAAGCTTGCGTAAGGCAAGTGTCGTGTGACGCATGTCAGGTCCTGTTAGGTTTAGTCTTTTGGTTTATTTCGGTCAGCTGGTTGTAGAGGTATAGCCCAGCGTTCCCGTAGAGAAGCTGAACACATTGCTGGGCAAGCTGCCACATAGTCCAGGTTGAGGGTTGAGGCTTGAGAGGCCTTGGCGTTTGGACTTCAGGCTGTGAATTTGGGTTGGATACTGCCCTGGACACTCCCCCATCCACAGGAGTGAATCACCATAATCAACTGTCATGGGGTGGAGATGAGTCGTTCAGGGTTTGTAGATAGCGTCCATGCATTCCTTTCAAGCGTGCTTGGCCAACATACCCCAATTAACATGGATTCTGGGATAGACAAGTGTCCTTGTTTTCCATGGGGCTATATGATAGTTTCTCAAAATGGGGAGACCCCAATATAGACCCCCAAGTATTGTAACCCTTGTTGTATAGGGACCCATGGGGGTCATGTGAAGTTTGGTGGAGTGTACAATACCATGAACACCATGAAGACCCACACGCCGCGCTACAAGCCGAGCTTAAGCATGCATAACCGCATGGATAACCTGAGGCTCTCAAACCTTGTCCTAAACCCTGAACCCTGAGCCCTAAACCCTAAGCCTTAATAAGCCCAAAAACCTTGAACCTTGAAAGTTATACCTTGAAACTTAAACCCTGAAATCCACACCTGCAACCGGGACCCACTGCAGCCCAAGCCTGGCTCATTGACCCTAAACCCTAAACCCTAAACCCTAAACCCTGATTCTTAGTTCTTATCGTCCTGAGACTTTAGGGTGTAAGGTGTAGGGTTTAGGGTATCGGGTTTGGGGTTTAGGGTTATTACTGCAATACTGGAGAACCAAGTGGGAAAGGGTGTGGAACATGAACTGGAAACTGGTGTTATGTCGGTATTTTACAGGGATTTTAGGGTTGCTTGGAGGGTCAAGGGGGTTAATAATGGGGATGACTGGGGTCATTAGATGGCCTATAGGGGTTCTTACTACGCCCCCCCTGACCCTCCAAGCAGTTCTTCTTGTACTCAGTTAGGACTTGGGGAAATTTAAATTCGTGTCCAGAGGAGGAGCCAGTGACTCGGCAATGGAAGCTTCCCAAATCCATAAAGGCCCAGACTCTAAGCTGATTAGAGATTTATGGTTTAGGGTTATTGCCAGTGGGGGTCCCATACCAGCTGAGGTGAGCAGGCTCCCGCAAGCCATTTCTCATTGACCTTGATCCCCTAGAATCCTTAAGTCGAGGATACTTTTGAGATATTTGGAGGGTTTTGGTATAACGAACCCCCAGCTTTTCTAGGACCATGAGATGGCCCCTCTTGTATAGGGGTTGGGGTCACCAAAATCCAGTGCTTATAATAACTTTCCAATTGATTACGTCGTTTCAATGACGTCAGCACACCTCTAGCCACTGATGTCATGTGTCGCCACATCTATTTCGGCTTCTGGGTAGGCCCCTGAAATATTTAGTATTTTCCCTAATGGCTTTAATGAGGGAGCTTATATACTAATATTTTTCAAAGGGCTTTAGGGGCCAACCCAGGCTTTCCTGGGGAGGTGCTCAATAAAGGGACAAGGGACAGCCAAGGAGTGATCGTCTTTCCAGACTTCGTGCCTGCCTCCACAGGCGCAGCTGGATAGCGGATTAGGGTTTTCGGATCTGGGGTTCAGGCCTCTCCAGTGGTGTTCCAAAACTTGCGCTTCAAAGTTGCAGCTCTTACGCCGGGAGGCATCATACCACAACTCTTTCCGAGTTGATTTCCTGGCGGAATTGTTCTCATCAACTGCGACAATGCCTCTTATGACTATACTCCGGGGAGGGCGCCAGGAAACCCTAATTTCCAACCGACACCACACCCTCCAACTAGCCCCTCATTCCTGTGGGAGTCTGGCAAAGAATTGTCTTGAAGGGAGGGATCCGACATGTCTTAAATGTCATCTGGAACGGAAATTCTACAAAGTGGGACCTCTCCATGTCCCTAGGCAGGATTTCTCCAAATTTTCCACACGTCCAAGCTACCAAGCATGATTGCCCTACAGCCCTTTGCTTGCAACCCAAAACCCCTGAAGCCCGCATTGTAGGGGCCCACATAACTAGACAGCGGCTTCAGGGTATCTTATGCCATATCTAGGGTATGCACGGGCTGTTAGAGAAGAAAGTCAGCAACTATCCAGGCTTTACATTACAAAGCCGCTTCCCAGCGCCCATGCAAGCCCAGTTTCCGTCCCTCATTATTCTATAACTTCCAAGCCGTAGATAACCCCACATACCTTCAATCCTGGGTAAGAAGCTTTAGACTTCAGATACCCCTGAACACCCTAAACCCAGGATAACTTGATAACTATCCTAAATCTTAGGTAAGCTTTCCTACATACCCCTATATGCCCCATAACCTAGTATGATACCGCCAGGCCCCTAAAGACTAGGCAAGATTTGCCAGGCTTTTGGGTGAAAGGCGAGCAATTCCTGCTGCAAAGCTTAGTTGCTGGGTAAAGCACTGATTGGTTTGAAGGGCTCTGCGGTTGCTGGAAAATCCTAAGCCCTGATCCCCGGAAATCTACTTGTAAATTTAAAGTGCAATAGCTTGGTTCAAAGAAAGGTAGGTTGGAAGCAACTCATTTCCCTACCTCCGAGGCTCCTAGGTCCTAAGCATAATCCTCCCTGTATGATTTAAGCTTTACGGACTTCCGGCTTGGGTCGTTTTTTGTGTTTGCTTCTGTGGCAAAGATCTGATTCTGAGTTGTCTCTGCGTAACTAACGTGTTATGAGGAGGGGTGAATGGAGGAATGGATCCCTGTAGTAGTCCCTATTCTAGCAGTCCCAAGAGTAGTGTAGTTTTCCCATCCTTTTCGAGCTCCTACATCTGGCACCCTAAACGCTAAGACGCAAATGATATTTTCCATGTTGGTTTTGGGCTTAGGGTTTCGGGTACTTTTCATTTGGTTTAGGGTATTTCTCAGTTCTTTCATCCCCTAGTAACCACCAACAAGTTCAGAGCTTGTGGGGTATGGCGACTTCCAAGCATTCGATCAGGTCGCCCCAGTCCGCATGGCTTGGTGTCTACTTGGCGCTTAGCATGGAGCGGGGTCATACATACTTAGGGAAGACCCGATACCAGGCATGTTTGGGTGTTCGCCTGGAGAGACCAAAAAAGTAAGATCTATGGTATACAGCCACCCAAGCCTGTCCTTGTACCACTTTCTCTTATTCCCTACCTCTGGGACCTACTTGCAACTGTACTTATAGCCCAAGTATGTGC